CAGGAAGAGAAACAGAGCTCACAACCACACGTCAGAGAAAACCACGTTAACATAAAGCTAAGTATCTGCATTTAAGAACATCTTCCTCCATCCATTGGCTCCAAGCTGTAAATCAACTCATTTACAAGCTGCTTTCTCCACGTTAGCATAGGGAATATGTGCTAAAGTCCCCTCTAACATCTGTCAGACAGGAAAGGAGGAACAGGAGACTGCAGGCTGCCCCTGTGGTCTCTGCAAAAGGCCCCCAAGCACACTGCTAAATGCACTAAGAGCCTCTGTAGATCCTCTTCAAAGCCAGAGGCCTGCTGGAAGATGTAACACGGACCCTGTTTTACACAATTAAATAGAAATATTGTGGTGTGTTTTGGTAATTTCTTCGTATGCGTGATTTACTGCATTGCGTACAGGTTGCAGCAGTGGCCAGGGACTTAAAAGGCAATCAAAATCCCGTATACTTGTGGGTCCATATAGAAAGTATCTGCTGCACACCCTAGAAAAGCCACCCCTGCTCAGAGAAGCAGCTCCATTTCAGCTCCTCCAGCCATGGGCATCCTCAGCCATCTCAGAAAAACCATACCAAACCCCTGAATTATAAATGGAGGCAGAAAAACCCCCACTTTGGTGCCTTTATTTCTTAATCCTGTCCATGATGCACCTTCAACTGCAGGGCCAACAGCTTCAGGTTCCTTGGTCGAGGTCTCATTTATTCAAATAAACCTGCTAACATAATTCCTTCGCCTGGTGCTAAAACAGTTAAACTCTTCCCCAGAATTGCTGTCTGCAAGCCATGTTCCTTGTTACCAGACGGATTAATCGCTGGTCCTGGGGAGTTCAGCAGCTCAAGCCACTCAAGGCACTTGTTAAGGAGGGTTTGCCTTTAATCCGCCAGGGAGACAATCAGCAGCGGCCTTACAACCTGCTCCAGAGTGAGGACTTCACTAATTAGTGCCATTAACGAGAGCTCACCCGGGCTCTGACACAGGCACCAAGACAAAGACCTCGCTGCATCTCTAGGGGTGCAGCTGGGAGGAACTGGTGAGACCACTTCATCTGCGGGAGCCACGAACCACCCGAAAAATCAGATCTCTGCTAGAAAAAAAGACAGCAGCACGCTCTGGTTTGCACAGTTTTCAGCTCTGGGAAAGGCTCATTGAATCTGTAGCATGGAAAGCTTGAGAGAAATAGTACAAAATGTTTCATTGACACCCTTCAAAGGCTTGGTCTGTGCACCAAAGCGTTAAGGTTAAGGTTAAGTGTTAGTGGTAGCGAGCTAATCCTGATTCCACGGACAAATGTAAGGTGTTGCATCTGGGAATTCATCATCCGAGAATGCAGCTGAGACTGGGTTCCACCTGGCAATATTGATCAGTATTGAGAGCCACATTCAATGCTGTAGAGAGCAGCCCTGTGCAAAGGGACCTGGGGGTCCTGGGGGATGAGGAGCTCAACATGAGGAACAGTGCTGCAGTGTAAAGAAACCAACAGGATGCTGGGGTGCATTGAAAAGGGCAGCACCAGCAGAGATCAAGAAGTCATCATCCCTCTCTACTCAGCACTGGTCACACCACACCTCGAGCACTGGGTCCAGTTTTGGTCCCTGCTATCCAAAACAAATGTGGACAGGTTAAAGGGTCCAGAGAAGGACAACGAGGATGCTCAGAGGACTGGAAGAGCT